TTGATTCTTACCCTGTGAATTTGCATACTCTGGGGGTGAGGGGAGGGGAATTTTCCTTTTAGAGGAAGGAGGAAATGTTTCTCCAGTAAGAAGGATTATAAAAGCTAATGGCTGTTTGAAACTGTTCAATCATCTGGAATTTGGGGGAGCAGGATAAACTAATTATCACCCTGCTGTGCAATTTATGTGGCTATCACTTCCATATGTGTTGCAAACATAAAGTAAAAGAAAATATTACAAAAACAATTTATTAACCAGAAAAAATACTAGTTGTTAGCTATCCTAATATTAAAAAATCTTACCAACAGCCTCTTGAAAGGGACTTACTAACAATTTAGTTGCTCTGGGAAACTCTGAATATCATAATAAGATTCCAACCTTGATTAGGCTATTGAGAAGTCTCTGCTCTCTTTCCAGTACAACTTAACCAGAGAATCTAAACTACCAACATACCCAAGCCAGGGTAAACACTCAAGGTCAAATATAGGCTTGGCTTGGTGTAAAAGAATGTAGCAACCATTGACCTTGTAGTGTTCAGATTTGCTTTTCAGCCTCTGAATACTTCTGCATCAGTTGGACTCAAACAAAAAGATGCTTTATACCATGTATCACTTAGTTGTTCTGGAGACACTGCACACATCTTCAAATTCAATGCCTATCAGCAGGACATGCTTTCATTACTTTCATAACTTGTTATTCAGCATAGTGGTGATGCCCCACAAGTTTTACAGTGAGCAGTTTGTAATGCTATTCCATATTTTCTTCCTTATTGCTGAATCTTTTATTGAACTTTTAAAATGTCTTACTTCAAGCTTATGATGATTTTTAATTAAAAAAATATGTACTGTATCTTATCAAGTTGTGTTTAACTTTTGTTTTTAACTAGTTAAAATGTATTCCTAAATAAAAACATCCTTTATGAATTTAAGTTATGGCACCTATTAAATTGTCCAGGAGTTGTATTTTCTTAGTACTGTGGAAGATTAGAACTGTGAAGTAAAATATTAATCTGATAATGTTAAGACTGCTCCAAAATAATCATACACATAAATTGTAATTTCTTGAAAGAGAAGGAATATTATAAGAATATGAACATGATGAAGGCAGACTTATCAATCTAATAAAGCAGTGAAGCAATAGTGACAGAGTTCTGAACAAATGGTTTAAATTGAGAATAGCATCCTGTGGTATTCAAAGGAAATATTAGTGATTATGGTGAAAAATTTGCGAGTATTTCAGAAGTAATCTAGGAAGCTAACTGGATCACATTAATAACTGATGAAACTCCAGGAGAAAGAATGAAACTCAAGTATGTACCTGCCATCAGTCTGTTGATATAATGTAGAAATATGCAAGCATTTTGTCTGATTTTACAAAACCAGTGAAATATGGATGCAATGCTACTGATAGGCGTTCTGTTCCTGAAAGCGTTTTAAAGGCATAGGCACCTCCTTGCAGCTCGGATTTAGGCACCAATCTCTGAGAGAGGGGCATGACTTAGGACACACTTCTCTCGTTTACATCTCCCACTGGCTAGTTTAGGAGGCTCTCTGCCTAGTGTGTTGGCTTTTGTGGATTGCCTATGTCTCCCCATTAGTGTATAGGGAGCCTAGGCACTTAACTCAGGCTTTGTGGATTGTAGTGTAGTTCCTGTGATTTTCTAGGTGCATCTGGGCCTAACCCCTACAAGAAAAGAATCATGGCTCTAAGAGAGAAAAATGTTATCTGATAGTTGTTTGGCAGTGTACGTGAAATGAGTTTCAGTCCAATTTCCAGTTGGCTGGTATCTACAGCATAAAATGCATCACCTCAGTTAGTATCAATTGGCATCCTTGTATGACAGTCTCAGCAAAAAAGCCAGAATGCCGGTGGGCACAGAAACAAAAACCGCCTCTCACCCTAGAGTTGGAAACAGTAGGTCAAGGATTAGACACTTTTGCATGACAACGTGTCGTGAACTGCTACTGTGTATCATGTACCAGTTCTGTGGATAAATAAAGGGTGTGAGCTTCAAATGTGTTTTACAAGCAAGCACTGTATTCACTTAAAAAACTGAGAATATCGTAAACTGTTCTTTAGAGCTCCTTGTTTGTTCACACAGCTAAAGATAAGGTGTCCTTGTCACTGAAAAACTACAAAGGAATGCATCTTGGTATAACAGATGATGAGTGAAGAGTTGTTTAGACTAAAAGCTGGGATTTTTTCCAGGATTACAGAGGTGTGGGGTTGGAACAAGTATTCACCTAGCCAAGCAAATAGAGACTCTGCCTAGTAACAAATAGTCTTGCAAAAAGGGGGTAGCAGCCTACAAAAAAAGGAAGGATTTTTTTTTTGTCAAATCAGTAAAAAAGTATATAGAATATCTAATTGTTTATAGGAAAAAGTAGTATATGCTGTATTATTGCTACAAATCTTCATTTTCTTGGTTATAATGGCATGTTTAATTAAAATAAAATTTGTTTTGTTAACAGGTCTTATATATGAATAATTTTAAAAAGCTTCCTGTTTTATGTCTGAGAAGAAAAAACAACCAGTTTTCTCCATTTCATCCACATTGAGGAAAAAAGAAAAAAGAAAAAACTAGAGGAACAAAGAATTCCAGTGAGGAAGGGTTAGTAATCTAATCCTTTTGTAATATTTTATAAAATAAAAAAACTAACTAACCATAAATGAGAAAAAGCTACTTGGAAAGATTTTAGCAACGATATTACGGTAACTCCTCACTTAACGTTGTAGTTATGTTCCTGAAAAATGCAACTTTAAGTGAAACGATGTGAAACGAATGCAGTTTTCCCATAAGATTTAATGTAAATGCAGGGGGTTAGGTTCCAAGGAAATTTTTGGGGGGCAGACAAAAGGTATTATATACTGTACTGTACTGTGGCAGGGAGGTGCTCCTGGCTTACCCCTGGGGCTCAGGGCTGGGGGTGCAGGGTCTGGGAGGGATTTA